TTTTTTTTTTTTTAAAGATGACCGGTAAGGGGATCTTAACCCTTGACTTGGTGTTGTCAGCACCACGCTCACCCAGTGAGCAAACCGGCCATCCCTATATGGGATCCGAACCCGGGGCCTTGGTGTTATGAGCACCGCACTCTCCCGAGTGAGCCACAGGCCGGCCCAAGGAACCACTAAATTCTTAACGGATGCTCTCCTCTAGAGTACAAGGGCCCTTGCACCCCAGGGCTGGGAGGGAGGCTGGAGCCTGGTCGCTTGTTCCTGGGCTGAGGCTTGGTCTTTGCCCACTCTATGCAGAGGAGGCAGATGAGCTGGACCAGCTGGTGACAGCAAGGACAGAGTCGGTGCAGTACGACCACCCGAATCACACAGTCACCGTGACCACCATCAGCAACCTGGATCTCTCAGGAGCCCGGCTGCTCGGACTGCCGCCGCCTGAGGTGGGTCCCAGTCCAGGCCACAGGGAAGAAGGGGAGCAGGAGCAGACTGGCTTGTCAGGGGCTTGCTAATTGGTGGCCCATGTCATAGGTATCCCTAGGCAAGGGGCTCTTTCCCTTCTAGACCCTTCAGTCTCTGCCTCCTGGGGGCTGCAGAGGCCAGCTCCACCACCGGGTGGCTGAAGGAGCTTGGGCAGGTTTCCTTGCCTTGCTTGCTTCCCTTTCTTCATCAGTAAATTGGGGGTTGCTGTTCATTGCACCCGCCTTGTGAATTTGCTGTGAGCTCAAAAGTGGTTCATCCGCATGAATCACTGGGCACAGTGCCCAGCCCACAGTAAGTGCTCAGCAAAAGATGGCTGTTCATTGTGATCATTCCCCTCACATGGTAAGCAGCAGTGACAAGGCAAGTCTGTGCGCACTAACAGTGAGTTTTCACCTGTGGGTTGTGAATCATCAGGAGGTTGCAACCTACTAAGCAAGTAGTAGGTCACAACAACTACTAGTAGTAAAAAAATAAAAAAGAGTATAATTGAAAATACCACAAAACATCACAGAAAGTATTATTTCATGAAACATCTGTTCTAGCTAGAGTTGTGTCTGTCTGGTTTGTGTAAGAATTTACATATATAGTCATCCCTTGGCATCCAGGACCCTCACAGACACCAAAATCCTCAGATGCTTGTGGCATAGTATTTGCATATAACTTACATCCTCCTGGATACTTTAAAATCGTCTCTAGATTATTTACAATACCTAATACAATATAAATGCTGTATAAATAGTTGTTACACTATATCTTCTTTTTAATTTTTTTTGTTTTTAGGGTTTTTTTTTTTCTCAATGTTTTAGATCCATAGTTGGTTGAATATGTGAATGTGAAAACTGTGGATACAGAGAGATGACTGCATGTATATACACAGTTATGGTGTAAAACACATTTCTGCCCGTGGGTTACAGTGTCCTTAAGTGCTGAAGCCACTGCCTGAGCACTTCCTTACTGATCTCACGCTCATCTTCCATTTTACACTTTCTTTTGCAACGTCTGATGCAAAGACAAGTCTTATCCCCACTTTGCTAATTTTTTCCTTTTTTTTTTTTTTTTGGCCGGTACAGGGATCAAACCCTAGACCTTGGTGTCATCAGTACCATGCTCTAACCAACTCAGCTAACCAGCCAGCCCATCCCTTTGCTAATTTTTTCATCCGTGAGTGTTTGAGTGTCTACTACCAGCTGCTGGTGCGAGGCAGTGGAGGGTTGTGAAAACAGCTCTCCCCTGTGTAATCCCCCAGTTTGGGGCAGATGTAATGTTCTTCTGCCCAAGGCCTTCTCTGAGCCCCATTCCAGGTCTGTGAGGTGGCAGGTCACACCCTCATTTGACAAAGTCATGATTGCTCAGGGTGTCTAGCCCTCTGCTTTCTGTAACAGTCCTTGTCCTGTGCTATTTTAGCAAGGAGCCAGGGATGGGTCCCAGGAGGAGGCGTCATCCATGGAGAAGCCAACCAGAGCCTTACCCAAGAAGTCCAGAGACCCCCTGCTCTCTCAGCGGTGAGTCCTGACCTGTGTTCTGTGGTCTGTTCCTTACGGCTGGTGTTAGTGACCAGGCCTTTGGAGCCACCTCCCGCTGGCCCATGGGGCAGGTGTGGGGCCCACAGCAGCCCTCTGCCTTGCTTGTTGAGTGGTCCTCAGCCTCTCCTTGCCCCTGTCCCTCCCCACCCTTGGGAATGTCCAGCCTCAGGTCCCCTTAGTACCGGGGTTAAGGGCCTTTCCCTCCATGAGGGGAGTTGCTGGCAGGCCCTCTGGAGTCAGAGCCGGCCAACTTTGGGATGAGTTTGGTGCTCCTAGCATTCCAGGCCTGTCCTGACTTGACCTCTATGAGCTGTGTGGTCAGTCACCCCCCAATCCAGCCTTTCACCCACTGCTCTATTCTCCACAGTCAGCAGAGGCCCCGGGCTCACTGGCCTTTCACCTTCCCACAGGATCTCCTCCCTCACAGCATCGCTGCATGCACACAGCCGCAAAAAGGTCAAGAGGAAACATCCCCGTCGGGCCCAGGACTCCACCAAGAAGCCCCCAAGTGCCACTCGTACCAGCAAGACCCAGCGACGCCGACTGACAGGCAAAGCCCGGCACAGTGGGGAATGAGCCCTGAGAGCCAAGTACTGACCCAGCTACACTGCAGGGATCTGTCCTGTGTCAACTTGGCTGTCCCTGTAATCCAGCCTGCCCAGACTCCACAACCCAAGGTTGGGAGGCCACGACCTCTCTGGCTAGGGCTGTCCTTGCCTAAGGACTGTCCTGGGGTTTGAACCCTAGAAGGAGCAGACAGCTGGGAGCTGGCCTCCCCCAGGAGGAGCCTTCAGAGCCAGGTTGGAACATCTTCCCAAATGTATACTCAATCGGATTTTTGAGACTCATGTGATTTGTATGCTTGGGGTTTGTTTGTCCCTGACCCGACACCATGCTCCAAGGGTAGGCAGAAATGGTCAA